GCATGGATAGATTACCGTAAAGTCTTTGATAGTGTGCTATACTTTTGGCTCCTTAAGACTTTGGAAATGTACAAAGTCACCTCAGTGATAGCAAATTTCCTTAAACACAGCATAGGAATGTGGAAAGCCACATTATGCCTAAATCACACCAAAGGCACTGCCACATCCAACGGCCTGAATATCTGACGAGGAATCTTTTAAGGAGACTCTCTGTCACCCCTTCTGTTTTGTTTTTCCTTAATCCCACTTACGCATGAACTAAACAATAATAGCTGTGGATAAAAAGTAAACAAGAACTATTCAATCATCTACTCTACATGACCTTAAACTATTTGCCAAAGACGACAATGAGTTGAAGGTTCTCTTCAATACTGTAAAGTATTTTAGTGACGACATAGGCATGGATTTCAGATTAGATAAATATACAAAAGTGACATTCAAGAAAGGGATAATTACAGAAATACATTCAACAGATTTAGATTTTGTCACAAAGATTAGGGAACTGGAACAAGAAGAAGCCTATAGGTACCCTGGAATTTGGGAAGGAGATGGAATATAGCATACCCAAATGAAGGAGAAAGTAAGAAAAGAATACAGTTTTAACATCCTTAACTCAACTATAGCTGACATTAAGCGAACGGACGTCAAAACGAGAAAGCTCCTTACTTGCCACCGCATTCATCATCCCAAGGCAGATGTTGATCGTCTGTATATGCCCAGATCCGAAGGAAGCAGAGGATTAGTTCTACTAGAAATGTGTTACAAAACTACAAAAATCGGCCTTCAAAGATACCTCGAAAGTACAAAAGACTGGATGATGATCTGTGTCAAAGAACATGAAAGAAGTAAGAAGCTTTATTCATTAATAAAGGTAGCCAACAAGTTCAAAATTGAGCTTCAAGTAGATGAAGAAATGCAACTGAAACATAATACCCCTGACTGCAGATGCAAACCATTTAAAACAGGAAGCAAAGGCAAATGCAATCGACCAGATACAGAAACGATGACAGCATAAACTTCAATATTCTTCCCGTACCAAACAAGTTGATGTGAACAAACTCCGTACCCATCAGTGGTTAAGTAGTGTATGGTTAAAAACTGAAACCGAAGGTTTTATTCTTGCTGCACAAGACCAATGTTTGCTAACTAGAAATTACCAAACGTTCACACTGAAAAATTATGTTAGCCCAAAATGCAGATTCTGTGATAAATACCTAGAAACAATTCACCATCTTGTATAGGTTTGCACGGTATTGGTACCCACTGAATATAAAATCCGACATGACAGAGTGGGTCAATATCTCCATTGGAAAATCTGAAACTTTTACGGAAAGGAAACTGCAAGAAATTGGTATGAACACCGCCCAGATCTGGTTACAGAGATTGGGCATGTAACAATTTTATGGGACTTTACAATACAGAGAAAAATAAATAAAAATAATCGCCCAGACATAGTGAATAGAGACCGCAAAGACAAGATGTGATTTCTTATTGACATCGTAATCCCTGCAGACTGTAATGTATATTTGAATGTTTTCAAAAAACTATCAACATACAAGACCTTGATATCGAAATCTCAAAAAATGTGGCACATGAGGACATGAACATCTCCAGTTGTAGTTTGAGCCTTCGGATTGATTGTCAGTATACTCATTGCAAGGAATCCTTGATAGCTCATGCCTTAAAGAAATACAAATAATTGTACTAACAAGTAAAACCCACACTTAACGAAGTGCGTTATTTTGTAAAATATGTGCGAACTTACGTGTTTTTTTCACAAATTTCTAACCTGAGACCTCTGATTGGGACCCGGAAAGAAATGAGTATACACCAGAAATCACAGAAAATAAAATACTACTTAATCTACTACTACTACTACTACTACTAATAATAATAATAGAAATTACCAAGCACACATACTAAAAACTGCATTAACCCCAAGTACAGATTCTGCGAAAAATATCCAGAAACAACTGACCATATTTTATCAGGTTGCACTGAATATAAAACTCGGCATGATAAAGTTGCCCATATCTGCATTGGAAAATCTGTGATATTTACGGGAAGGAAACTGCAAGAACCTGTTATGAATATCACCCAGACCCCGTCATAAAAATAGGACCTGTAATAATTTTATGAGACTTTACAATACATACAGACAGAACAATGAAAGTTAATCGTCCAAACATCATGATAAAAAAACATAAAAACAGAAAAATGCTTTCTTATTGACATGGTAGTCCCTACAGATTTTAATGTATTTTTGAAAATCTTCAAAAAACTATCAAAATACAAGGATCTTGAAGTGAAAATCTAAAAAATGTGTCACATGGGGACATCAATAATTCCAGTTGTGTGTGGAGCCCTCGTAGTGATTGTAAAAGGTTAAGATAGACTCATTGAAGGGATTACTGGAAGCCCATGCCTTAAAGAAATACAAAAAATTGTACTCACAAGTACAGTTCACACATTAGGAAGAGCTTTATCTACATAAAATGTGTGTGACTTTGGGGGTTTATTTATTGTTTTTTTTTACAAAAATGATCTGTGGAAAATGTCACGAAGCCATTTCTGACCTTAGTTCTCTGGTTGGAACCCCGAAGGAAATGTGTATACGACAGAAATCAAAGAAAATAATAATAATAATAATAATAATAATAATAATAATAATAATAATAATGCGTATAGATCTTTGATGCATTCGTTTCCGGTGTGATCTAGTTCCGTGTAACAGTTTAACCCATGACACCACTTATACGACACGCGTCTACGCGACAGGCAGTGCTTTGAAGATAGATAATCGCAAACATTCGGTGGTTAAATTTGTTCTCTTGAGAAGCAGACTGAAACAATTCTACTCACTTAAAAATCCCCATGAGACCAATTATCGACATTCTTTGCAGGAAGGATATGTCCAGTAGTGGTAGAACAAAGAATAAAATGCTGTAAGAGCACAACTGATAGAGAAACGATGGAGACAGAATTTAATATGCTTATAACAGAAAATTATGTATACATAATAAATATCTGGACATTTGCATTTAAGTACATTTGAATATATACTTGGAGATTTGTATGTATTTATATATAACGAATAAGCGTTATAAGGAAAGCATATTTGTTGGTATTCAATATTTCATTTAATATTTTATTGTACAACTCTCGGATTGTTTATCATAATCAAATAAATATATATATATATCATAGTATAGTTATTGGTGTTTAGTTTCTGACTTCGGATAAATAAAGATTGCCTTGGGACGTACGAAAGATATAACCTAAACAGAGAAACAAAATATTATAGATTGTTGCGTGGGCAACGTGCGAATCTGCATTGAACCAAGATTACAGAACAATCAGAAAAGAAATGAAAAATATTAGCAAGATAAGAGCACGAAGGAAAAAAAATATGGTTTTCGGAATGTTACAAAAGAAAAAGCTTTAAGGAAAATTAAAAGGTTAATAAGCAAAAACTGGATTGAAAGATAAACTAATAAAAACAATGATAATGAAAACGCTTCATCGATGAAATTCGAAGTACTTGAGATTATTAAATCTATTTTAATGACAAATAAAAATTAGAATGTTTCCGTATCATTTTGTTTGAAGCTGACAATATCGAATTCGCCATAGACTAACCGGGAGTAAAGAAACTTCTGCAAGATTCTGAATATTAGAGTTTCTTATGGACTGTAAACTCTTACATTTAAATGGGGTTCAAACTTAATAGTTACATAGAATCAAACTCTAATAAGTAGAAGGGTGAGCAGAATCAGAATTCCGAAACGGGTTTTGAGACATACAACTAATTCAGTTATATTATCTCCTCCATTACGCACAAATAGGCAGAAAAAAAGAAACAAACATTGTGGCCAATATTTAACGGTTATTCATCATTTTATACTCGTTCTTTCAGACTTTTGGTTTTTACAATGATGTTAACCGTATACAATGCCCGGAAGTAACTCGTGGTAGATGGGGACAGAGTAAGAGGCACAACTTATGCGGAGATGTGGGGAAAATAACGATTAACCCTTGACTTGAACAAATTAAGATTGTAGTGATCGGGAAGCATCTTCTTGGGAGTCGATTTCACAGAGCAGCGGTTCGTGTAAAGAAACTGACCAAGTGGAACTTACATCTCACCCCCCAAAATACAAAGCAAATGAGAGTGGTTCGCTACAATGGGTGTGACATGGTGGGGCCTAGCCTTGAAAGTTAGAAGCGGTAGAACAAAGGAATATAGTTTTTTTTTTTAATATTTTCAATGGACATAGCGATAATCGCGCTTGTGAGAAAGGGGTTGTAGGGTGGAAAATAATTTGTCACCGACAAGGACGTGGAGACGCTTTTGAACTCTATCGAGATTGAAAAGTGAAGGGTGGGCAGCTCCTGTCAATATATGGTATCATTACTCCATTTTCGACCTTATCTGGATCTTGTAAAGGTAAGGGATAACGGGAAGAGTCAGATACTTACTGGAACGGTACAGAGAACCGACCATTTTCCAGCCTCTTGTATGACTTCCACCCACTTAAGCTCTGGGTTGAGTCTGTCTCAATAGTCGTTCAAGGCAAGGGGATTCTCCGAGGGAACATCCGTTCATTGGGATGGTGATCGTTCTGGGTCCGATAATTTATGTTATTGTTTTTTTTAAAATCAGAACAGTAATCTGAATCACTTTCTACAAAAATAAATCGTCAAAATGAAACATTTACTGGAAAGCAAAACAAACAAACGAGGATGTACTGTGTGTATAACGTGTGTAGTTATGGCGGATAGTAGAAAGACAAGACCATCCACTCATTAAAAATAAGATTTAAGAACATCGAAATCTTTTGTCCTTGGAGAGATTTTGTATCGCTGATCATGTGTAGTATAAGAGAGCTCATCTATCCCGATTAAACGAACCTAGAATAATAGATACAGAAAAACATTGGAAGAGCAAAAGTTTTAAAAAAGTAGCGTATTTTTTGGTTGTTGGGAACCTTCATCTAAGGAGTCTGTTAACACGGGTTTCCGTTCGATCACCAAAGTTACGCAATGTCGAGTTTTGTCAGTACCTCAATGGATGACCGCTTGGGAATACCAGGTACTGTAAGCTTGAGTGTGCAGGTGGTATAATAGATAATGGTTCGGAACTGTGAATCGGAGAGCCGAGTTCAAATTCCCATTGGCTTCCTTATAAACACTTACACTCAAATACCATTGGGAAAGTTATGAATCCACCTCTTCTCTCTCTAAGTATGGGTTAATTAGTAGCATCATTAAATATTCATTATTTCCAAAAAATAAAATTTTTACAATCTAAAAATATTTTCTGGCTTTAAATAGTCTGTAAAGGGTTGATAAGCCGTAAAAAAATCAATCAATCAATAAGGTTTATGTTCCACAGGGTAGAGGAAATTGTTTTCTGAGTGGGATTTACATCTTACTAGTGGAATACGAAGGGAATGAGGATGGTTTAGCCCTGTGTGTAGGGCATGGCCTGTCCTAGCTGTAAAAGTTTCAAGTGAACTATCTCGTCTGAACATTTGCAATAGAAATAACGAAGCATTAGCGATAAGCTTATCAGTGGCAAAGGAACTGTAGGATTAAAATAGAACTCATTGTAGACAAGGCTACGTAAATGTATTTGAGCTCTGTCAAATAATAAATAAGGATTGGATATCTCCATCCCAAATCACGCAGCAATGCTTCATTTTTGTATGATCTGACATTACAGGTATACGAATATGCACACATAATAATATTAATAATAATGAAGTCCCAGAATGGATCACTGAAAGTATAACATATCTACTGCCAAAACCGTGTAATAAAGATGATCCGAAAAATTATAGGCCAATAACATGTCTGCCCACCACGTATAAATTGATCACGTCTGTCCTGGCGAATTGTACTTTTTTCTTGAAGAAAACAACATTCTTCCTCTGAAACAGAAGGGACGCCGGTAAGTTTCATATGGTTGCAAAGATCAATTATTGATAAACAAAATGTTCCTGGAAAACTGCAGGAAAAGAGGTAGAAATCTCCGCACAGCATGGATAGATTACCGTAAAGTCTTTGATAGTGTGCTATACTTTTGGCTCCTTAAGACTTTGGAAATGTACAAAGTCACCTCAATGATAGTAAATTTCTTTGAAGAGATCAAGGTTCAAAATATGGTGGATACTAGAGGAAGTCTGGAATGTACAGCGTAATAAAAACACTAGACGAAGTAATTATATTCCGAATGAACAATACTTACAATATCTTGTCTAAAAAGATAAAACAATAACAAGTTACCATAATAACCTTGTCGATTGTTACAATATAAAGCATTGGTAAAATAATTCTAGAGGTTGCGCGTCTCGATCTCTGATCAGTAGAAAGTCAGATCATATTGTTTTCTCGTCGAGGACTCTGAGAAATAGAAGACAATATTAAGTACGGTAGAACAACGAAAAGGGAACACCATTTTGTACAACGAAGACGAAGGTAAATTAAAAAAGTTTGTGCAAGCTTACCAAGTATAATTCCTATAAATCTTGTCATCTGACGGAGATAAAGAGTATTACAAATTCAAATATCCATAATCTGTTCAATATAATATACAATTATCACGAGAGACCTTTTCATAATTCGCCATCTTTGATTTGCTTAACCGTTATCGGTAAAGACTACATATGACTGCAATAATCAATTTAGCAAAAAACCTCCAAAAGAACAATTATTATGGGCAGTTCACTCACTTAGAATGTAAACTTTGAACTGATTTCTTCCTTTTCAAACAACTGACTACATTTTCTGTATAACTGCAGGTATACTATGGCAATGATTTTAGCTGATTGAGTTGTCGATAGGAATCTCTTCTGCAGCTGAAAGGGCCATATACAAATTACACCAATTAGTTGAACATCCCAATTGGGAGTAAACAATGGGTTGTTTTGGGATTTTCTTTTCTCACAATTGAATTCAATGCGGCTTCAATAAGAAGATCACAGTTGGAAAAATATTTATCGACTTTAACAATAAATAAGCAGTGTCAGGAATTTTGTATAACATAACGAATTGATCCTTAAAGAAATATGGCGTAAAGGCCGATTCTCTCGTGGAGTTTCAGGGCAGTACTTAACCATAACTTAGTGGTCACACTTTAATTGTATATAGTCTTGTTCGTTGTATCACTAGCGGAACTGGTGAGCAATTTTCAGCCTTCGGTTGTAGTTCAATCAATCACTTACCAACATGTGGGTGTCAATTTTTGAATAAGAATTCTCACAGGTAAAGTAAATTGGTATATTCGCAGATACGATAGAAGGCACGTATATTTTGTCATTTTCAAAAGTCTTTTGTCTTGAAATTCTGTGCAATATTCCGTTTAAGAGTTAAACCTTCTTCATCGGTTATTGACAAATTCTTCTTCAACAGGAGTTTCACACAGACCATATTTCGTGTTTTATTATGCAAAATTAACCCCAAACCAACTGACAATGTGGTTTTTATCGTTTCACTCAACTGTAGTTTGCTGTTGAATCGGGTCGATAACGAAATTAGGTAAGTGATTTCGAAGATTGAAGCATCGATTGTATTGACACGTATCTGTTCAATTTGGAGATGTAATTTCAGAGTCGTGTTCAATCATTTGAAACAGTCCAAGAAGTAGTGAATCAATGAAGTTGAAAAAGTCCCAGTAAATGTCCCATTTCTATAATTCAAAAGCTCATTTTGAATATATATTTTTTTTACCATACACTATATTTAATAAGGCTATCACCTTTGATATTCTAAGCACAAGAGCAAGTACTTGATCTTCACTGTAGAAAGTTAATATTTTTGACAAAGTGTTTGCAGGGTGTACATTGATAACAATCAAGCTTTTCAAGTATCGTTTCTAATTTACCTTAATATCGTCTTTTGGCATATCTTTTTCAACGATCAAGTTCTTATTGATTGTTTTGAGGCTGATTATATCAAGAATTTTTGTGACCTACTGACATTCTGAATTTAGAAAATCATATTCTTCAATTAACCCAATGACCGTCTTTAAAATGTTTCGTACACAAATAAAATTCCAAATTTAAATTCCTTGAAAACGTTATTGAAATACTTGAACTCGTCTTACTCTTTATCTCCATCACAAGATTTGTGGGATTTATATTTCGTAAGCTTGTACAAACTTTGTAAATATTTATTCATATTCGATCTATAAAATTAAAATAAGAAGACCAGAGCACAATTTCCAGTAATTAGACTAAATCATACCACTGAACATGAAAACAGAAAAAGGTAATTTATGAACATCATAAAATGAATTGAGACTAAACCTTTTGTTTTAGAAAGTAACTTTCTTGTCATCTCAGAGATAAACTTACAGGGATATTGTAATGAAACAATTGGAATAGGGATAACCAAAGAGGATTATCTATTGTCAGGACGTATTGAAAATAACGTTAGACGTTTATAAAACATATGAAGTAAATTCTAGTAAAGAAAGTTTTAAGTTTTCAATATATTTCCTTCATTCCTTGATAAATTACAGTATGTAAAACTAACACTAAAATATCAAATTACTACATTAAAGAAGAGCGCCGCCTGTTGGTAGGATTTGATTCAGCATCCCAAGAAAAGCCTAAAGGAGATGTTACTGGATGCGTATAGGACCCAAATGGCGACCCCTACCGTACTGGTCAGAACTTGGACAACCCAAATTGAGTGGAGGTGATTTAAACACTCGTAGGCATGAAATTCTGACAGTGATAGATTGTCTTTGTCTAAGTGTTAATATAAGGCCAAAAAGGCTAGATACATAGTACGATTGCAAGAACAGAAGAATGTCTGATTCCTTACTGAGAAAACTATCACGTGATGATGCGCAACTGGTCAGCCTGTTGACAGCCGTCTTTTTTATTCCCCTTCTCCTCTTGATTTCTCCAAGAAACATTTTTACTACTACTGTACACCATGAAATAAAGCAAGCAAAAAGAAACCTAAAGAAAACTGCCCGTCGTTCATTCAGTTTTTGATGCAGCGTTGTGGGCCCGAAGAATTGCCGATAGACCACAGGAAGACAAAAACGACACAAAACGCAATATATACCTGCCACCTTACCTTGGGCTGTATGTTTTCTTAGAATAGTAATATATATTATATATATATATATATATATATATATATATATATATATATATATATATATATATATATATATATATATATATATATGTGTGTGTGTGTAATCTGCACCTGAAAAATAATCAATAATTGCCAAACTAGTAACATAACATTCAGGATTCTACTGATGTTAGAAAGTGTACGCAAAGTTATATTCGATAGAACGACACAAGTAAGTGAAGAAACCTTCAATAATGAAAATGTTAGCACTTAGCGAATATATTCATTGCGATGTTGAACCAATATCCTACATTTAGGTTCGATGGTTTTTTAATCGATATATCTATTCCTTATTGAAATCAAAGACGCCAGATAAAAACAGGTGTAAGATTGAGTTTAAAGTAAAAAACAACACAATTATTGGAAATATATCAATGAAATATTTCTTATCACATGTAGAAACGAAGAGAAAATTAACTGTGTATTTGAGCCATAAATTTATTGCTGTCTGCGAAAAAGTAAGGAAAGAATATTTTGTGTATGAAAAGGAACGTAAAGCAATTAACAATCTTGAATTCTTATTTGCTGTGCGTTTTCAGGACAATGTATATCATCGCACTCCACAACTCCCTTATCCTTTGTAAGCAATGTAAGTTACTTTACTATCATTTTCAATACTTGTTTTGTCATTCATTTTATACACATTATTTTGGTTGGTTACTCGCTGTTTCCTTCTTCGCCCCATGAAACCTTCGATAAGACAGTCACGTGATTCTTTATGGGATTGATGGAGACAGGACTGATCCTTTCTAAAAGTTATTTGTTTACTCTCTAGATACTGATATTTATTTACTACTGATTTATTTTCACAAAGGTCTTTATAACCGAACTCTTTTTCGTACAGGCGAAGGAAATATTGCTTGAAACATAGACGTAGGTGCAACTGATGAAGATCTCTGCGATGAAATAGCTACAGCAGTCATGAGATTAAACGGATTTACTGGCT